TGGTGGGACCTCATCATGGTCATGGGAGCTTCTACCTTGGTGGGACCTCAGCGTGGTCATGGGACCTTCTCAACTGGTGGAACCCAACATAGTCTCTACTGGTGGGACCCAACGTGGTCATGGGACCTTCTCCATCATGGTCATGGGACCTTCTCAACTGGTGGGACCTCAGCATGGTCTCTACTGGTGGGACTCAACATGGTCATGGGACCTTCTACCTTGGTGGGACCCAACACGGTCAGTCTCGGGACCTTCTCAACTGGTGGGACTCAGCGTGGTCATGGGACCTTCTCAGCTGGTGGGACCTCAACATGACCATGGGACCTTCTACCTTGGTAGAACCTCATCATGGTCATGGGACCTTCTCCATCATGGTCATGGGACCTTCTCCATCATGGTCATGGGACCTTCTCTACTAGTAGAACCTCACCATGGTCATGGGACCTTCTCAACTGGTGGAACCCACCACGGTCATGGGACTTTCTCAGTTGGTGGGACCTCATCATGGTCATGGGATCTTCTCAACTGGTGGGACCTCATCATGACCAAGGGACCTTCTCTACTGGTGGGACCTCATCGTGGTCATGGGACCTTCTCAACTGGTGGAACCCACCACGGTCATGGGACTTTCTCAGTTGGTGGGACCTCATCATGGTCATGGGATCTTCTCAACTGGTGGGACCCATCATGGTCTCTACTGGTGGAACCCACCATGGCCATGGGACCTTCTCAACTGGTAGAACCCACCATGATCCTTCCACCATCTTGAGATGGACCCCACCATGCTCATGGGACCTTCTCAACTGATAGAACCTCCATGATCCTTCAACCTTCTCAACTTCTAGAACCCACCATGATCCTTCCACCATCTTGAAGATGGAACCCACCATGACCATGGGACCTTCACCCCTTGGTAGACCTCCCATCCTCCTCCACCCCCCCTTCTCCTCACCTGAGCAGAACCGGGTGTGTCCTTGGACCTCGGCGCCGCTGGCCGGATGTCGGACCCGGCAGCTGAAGCTCCTCCCCTCCCCCCACTCCTCCCGGCTCACGTTGGCCCAACTGGTGGCCGAGTAGGTCAACGACCCCGGATCCTTTCGGGGGGGGGTCCTCCGGGAGGTCACGTGACCTTCCTCCCCGTCCATCAACCAATCGATTTCCACCGAAGGGGGCCAGAAACCGGAAACGAGGCACAGAAGCTCCGCCTCTTCTTCGTCAGGTCGGCAGGAGAAGCTGGAGAGGACTTGGACTTCCGGAGGAACCGGGGCGGCCGGGGGGCAAACTAAGGGGGGGAGAAGGGAGCTCGACGTAGTTATGGGGTCTCCGGATGTGGGGCAGGAGGTCCCCGGCGGTTTCCGCCCCATAACCGGAAGTGTGGGGCAGGGGGAGAACTTCCTTTGGAGGCCTACAAGGGGTTGGGGGGTGGGAGGGGAAGGTT